GGAAGGAATGCCTTGTGAGCTCCTCAGGGAATGACAACACGGAGAACGGGCTGCAGGGCTCCAAGGCCGAAGAGAAGGCGCCCAGCAAGGCGTGAGCCTGGGGGCCACAGCCCAGGGCGCCCTGTGTGAGGGTGAATCGCAGGCCTGTGGGCCACCTGCCTGACGCTGCTGCTTGGCTCAAACTCTAGTTTTCCTGTGGGAGCCCGGGTCCTGTCCAGCCTGCCCCCCAGGAGAAGGGGGTGGGGTGCGGTGGGAGGGTCAGGCGGGGGCCCGGCCTCACCCCTGGGCAGGTGGCGCTCCTCTTCCCGCTGGCAGAGGACGTGGCCCCAGGCTTCTCCTGGAGCCAGGCGCCCTGGGAGCACTAACCCTTCTGGGGCCCATTGGCCTCAGGGGCCCTGGCAGGATGTGGGGTGGGGGCTGGAGGGTGCAGGGAGAGGCTTTGATGGGTTCCCGACCCCTTACCCCTGTCCACCACCCCTGCCAGCCCTTCCCGGGGCACAGGGGGCCCATCCTGCTTAGGCGCCGCCCCCCTCCTGCTGTGGGTGCCCTCACACCTGCTCCCCTGACCCAGGGTTGTTTGTGGGCAGCCCCCCCCCCCCTCCGGCCTCCGGGCCTCCGCCTCAGGTCCCCTTCCTTCGGGGAGAGCGCCCACCCTCCGGGGTTCTGGCTGCTTCCTGCTCAGCTGGCCCGCCCCGCCCTCTGTCCCAGAGAGGGGGGGGGGAGGAGGGAGGTGCTGGTTTTCCTCTGCTTTTCCAGAACTGGCTGCACCCCGTGTGTGGGGCTAGACTGTGCCTTAGCTCCAGGTCCAGCTCCCCCTCCCCCTCATGCCACTGTCTCCTGTGGCACTGCTGAAGGCTCCCCGTGACCCCCCCCCACCCCCAGGCAGGGGCCGGGGCGGGGACGTGTCACTGTGGCCCCGTGGGCAATGGCTGAGTCACAGAGATGGCTCCCAGGGCTCCCGGGGGTCCCTGGCTAGGATGTGGAGGTGCAGGAGTGGCCCCAGGTGCTGTCCCCGGGTGGGGGGCAGAAGTCAGTGGCAGGAGGTGGCATTCAGAGGTCACATCTGCGCCCACTGCCTGGCTCTCAGAACCCCTGAGACGTGCTCCTGGGCCCTGGGGGGAGGGGAGGCAGGAGCCCCTCCTCCAGAGGGTGGGGGCTGCCTCAGCTCTGCTTCCAGAGGCGGCAGCAGCTTCCTCAGGGTGGAGACAGGGCAGGAGGGGGGCAGCGGCACTGCTGGCTGTCCCTGGCCCCGCCCCCCCATGAGCTCAGGGTCCCGCCAGCTGCTGCTGTCCCTTCTGTCCTGCTCCCCGAACTCATCCCCGGGTTCCTGGCACTGGGAGCAGACAGAGCAGAGCCACCAGGCACTGGGGGAACTATGCTGCCTTCCTGCAGCCGCTCCCGCCAGCGCCCATGGCCGCAGGGCTGGCTCCCCCTGAGGACAGGCTGCCGGCCAGGCCCAGGCCTTGGACAGGAGGGGGCGCCCCTCGCTGCCTCTGCTGCTGACTCACACCTGGCCAGCACGTCTCTGACTCAGCTTCCCCATCTCTCCAATGGGCGGCCTAACGCCTACCTACCTCACACGACTATTGTGAGGCTTGGCGAGTTGTGTTTAAAAAGTCCTTTGGGCTTGGAGAGTGACCTAGGAGGCCAGCATTATAATTAGTGGGATATTCAAGTTTGTCCTGTCCTTCTCTCTGTGTCCCTTCCCCACAACACACACCCTCCCTCCTCCCTACAATATACATCCTCCCTCCTCCCTACAACACACATGCTCCCTCCCTACAACACACATGCTCCCTCCTCCCATAACACACATCCTCCCTCCTCCCTACAATATACATCCTCCCTCCTCCCCCCAACACACATCCCTCCTCCCATAACACACACCCTCCCTCCTCCCATAACACACACCCTCCCTCCTCCCATAACACACACCCTCCCTCCTCCCATAACACACACCCTCCCTCCTCCCATAACACACACCCTCCCTCCTCCCATAACACACACCCTCCCTCCTCCCATAACACACACCCTCCCTCCTCCCATAACACACACCCTCCCTCCTCCCATAACACACACCCTCCCTCCTCCCATAACACACACCCTCCCTCATCCCATAACACACATCCTCCCTCCTCTGATAACACACACATCCTCCCTCGTCCCATAACACACATCCTCCCTCCTCTCATAACACACATCCTCCCTCCTCCCTACAACACACACCCTCCCTCCTCCCTCCAACACACACATCCTCCCTCGTCCCATAACACACATCCTCCCTCCTCTCATAACACACATCCTCCCTCCTCTCATAACACACATCCTCCCTCCTCTCATAACACACATCCTCCCTCCTCTCATAACACACATCCTCCCTCCTCTCATAACACACATCCTCCCTCCTCTCATAACACACATCCTCCCTCCTCTCATAACACACATCCTCCCTCCTCTCATAACACACATCCTCCCTCCTCTCATAACACACATCCTCCCTCCTCTCATAACACACATCCTCCCTCCTCCGTATAACACACATCCTCCTCCCCCTTTCCCCCTCCCCCTTTCCCCCCTCTCTCCCTCCCTCCTTGTCTCCCCATCTCCCCCTGCCCCCTGCCTTCCCAGGTCTCCCCTGGGGACTATTGCAGTGTTTGTTGTCAGGAACCTGGGCCCTGATGCTTGAGGCTCCTGTAAGGACACTTGGTGGGTGGCTTCCAGCGGAGGCAGGGGGACTGTCGGGGACTCCTGGTGGCCCGGTGCCCGGGGTTACCTGCTGGCACCTGTAAGTGGGCGGAGGTTAGATTAGTCCCCACACCAAAGAACGTCCTGCCCGACGCCGGGACCACACCCCTGGGAAACACTGACCTGTCCTGAGGTGAACCACAGCCGTCTCCCCGCAGACCCACCGGGAGTGCCTCCCAGCGACCCCAGGGAGGAGGGGGTGTCAGGGCCTGTGGGCCCCACAGAGCCATCTGCACTATGTCCTGGGAGCCCAGGGCGCTGCGGCTGGGGGGCAGTAAGGTGAGTGCGAGCAGAGACAGGTCTTTCCCAGCTCCCCTTCCTGGCCCTGACCGCGGGCTCCGCACCCCAGGCCTGGGGCTCCTCGGGCAGGAACTGAGCAGAAGGCGGCCAGAATGGACCCGGGCTGCTAGCGGGGCCTGGGATGCCGGTGGAGCCCCGACGTTCCCCCGTTCCCCGGCGGCTGGCCCACAGGAGCTGGAGGGGGTGGAGGCGGAAGCCATGTTCCCAAGGTGGCAGGTGCAGGTGGGAATTCATGACTGTGGGTGGTGGCCATGAGAGAGAGGGTGCTGCAGGGGGGCAAAGGCTGGGGTGCCTGAGGTGGGCAGCCTGCATTGCGGGAGCTCTGGTCTGGTTCAGCGTGACCTGGGGGGCACCCAGAGGCACCCAGAGGCTGAGAAAGGATAGGAAACCAGGGGGCAGGGAGGAGGGGGGTCGGAGACCAGCCACACCCCTGTGCTCCGTGACTCAATGTCTGCACCTCACCGGCACCCCAGCTGCCATCGGAGCACTGGGGTGGACACCTGCACCCCTGGGAGAAATGAAATCGTGCGCCCCCACTGTCCTCCCTCCCCGGCCGGAGCCGCTCCCCTCTTTCCCCCTCCCACCCCCGCCTGGGGCTGTGTGCTTCTGACTCTCATGCACGGTTTCCCTGGCTGGGGCGACAGCAACTCCCACAGCAACTCCCCAGCAGGCTGGAGGCCCGGAACCGGCCGCGGGAGGCCGGCTGTGAGCACCTTCAGCACAGGGTCGGGGTCCAGCCCAGGGTGGCCGGGCTGTCTCGCCTTTACAACCTGACTGCATTGCAGGGCTTTATTTCGCTTTGCCTTGGAAGAAATAAATGCTATGTTGAACAGACGTGGTGTGTGGTCCTCATTGTTGGCTAATTGGGGACTGGGTTCCAGTCTTGTCACCTGCTGGCTTGTCACCAGCCTAGGTCGAGTTGTGTCTAAAATGTTACCCACTTGGACAGCGTGGCTCAGTAGTTGAGCATCGACCTATGAACCAGGAGGTCATGGTTCGATTCCCAGTCAGGGCACATGCCCAGATTATGGGCTCGATCCCCAGTGTGGGGCATGTAAGAGGCAGCCGATCAATGATTCTCTCTCATCATTGATGTCTCTCTCTCTCTTCCTCTCCCTTCCTCTCTGAAATCAATAAAAACATATTAAAAACAACAACAACACTGTGCTGAGCATTAAAACGAAGTTCCTGGCCTGGTGAGTATATGCCTGGCTTGAGGGTGTATCATGGGATCCACACCACAGGGGCTGGCGAGGTGGGAGTGACACTGACCACCTTCACGCCTCCCTGGGCTGGGGTGGCGCCATGATTCTGGTGCCACTAAATGCCATCCTTCCTCCTCCCTCCTCCCATAACACACATCCTCCCTCCTCCCATAACACACATGCTCCCTCCTCCGTATAAAACACATCCTCCCTCCTCCCATAACACACACATCCTCCCTCCTCCCGTAACACACATCCTCCCTCCTCCGTATAACACACATCCTCCCTCCTCCCATAACACACATGCTCCCTCCTCCGTATAAAACACATCCTCCCTCCTCCCATAACACACACATCCTCCCTCCTCCCGTAACACACATCCTCCCTCCTCCGTATAACACACATCCTCCCTCCTCCCATAACACACATGCTCCCTCCTCCGTATAAAACACATCCTCCCTCCTCCCATAACACACACATCCTCCCTCCTCCCGTAACACACATCCTCCCTCCTCCGTATAACACACATCCTCCCTCCTCCCATAACACACATGCTCCCTCCTCCGTATAAAACACATCCTCCCTCCTCCCATAACACACACATCCTCCCTCCTCCCGTAACACACATCCTCCCTCCTCCGTATAACACACATCCTCCCTCCTCCCATAACACACATGCTCCCTCCTCCGTATAAAACACATCCTCCCTCCTCCCATAACACACACATCCTCCCTCCTCCCGTAACACACATCCTCCCTCCTCCGTATAACACACATCCTCCCTCCTCCCATAACACACATGCTCCCTCCTCCGTATAAAACACATCCTCCCTCCTCCCATAACACACACATCCTCCCTCCTCCCGTAACACACATCCTCCCTCCTCCGTATAACACACATCCTCCCTCCTCCCATAACACACATGCTCCCTCCTCCGTATAAAACACATCCTCCCTCCTCCCATAACACACACATCCTCCCTCCTCCCGTAACACACATCCTCCCTCCTCCGTATAACACACATCCTCCCTCCTCCCATAACACACATGCTCCCTCCTCCGTATAAAACACATCCTCCCTCCTCCCATAACACACACATCCTCCCTCCTCCCGTAACACACATCCTCCCTCCTCCGTATAACACACATCCTCCCTCCTCCCATAACACACATGCTCCCTCCTCCGTATAAAACACATCCTCCCTCCTCCCATAACACACACATCCTCCCTCCTCCCGTAACACACATCCTCCCTCCTCCGTATAACACACATCCTCCCTCCTCCCATAACACACATGCTCCCTCCTCCGTATAAAACACATCCTCCCTCCTCCCATAACACACACATCCTCCCTCCTCCCGTAACACACATCCTCCCTCCTCCGTATAACACACATCCTCCCTCCTCCCATAACACACATGCTCCCTCCTCCGTATAAAACACATCCTCCCTCCTCCCATAACACACACATCCTCCCTCCTCCCGTAACACACATCCTCCCTCCTCCGTATAACACACATCCTCCCTCCTCCCATAACACACATGCTCCCTCCTCCGTATAAAACACATCCTCCCTCCTCCCATAACACACACATCCTCCCTCCTCCCGTAACACACATCCTCCCTCCTCCGTATAACACACATCCTCCCTCCTCCCATAACACACATGCTCCCTCCTCCGTATAAAACACATCCTCCCTCCTCCCATAACACACACATCCTCCCTCCTCCCATAACACACATCCTCCCTCCTCCCATAACACACATATCCTCCCGGGAATCTTCTGGGTGGAGCCCGAGGATGAGGCCGGAGGGCAGGCGGGGTGACTGGCTTTAGATGGTGGGCTCCCACCTCTGCTGCCGCCCCAGGGAAAGGGGTCCGGGGGACTCGAATGCGGGTGAATTCGCCGGGAGGGTTAGGGCCCTCCCAGTTAGGCCGCCAGTGCCCGCACTTGCTCTGGTGGGTGGTAGACCCTTCCATGCAGTGGGCGGAGGGCGTGCCCCAGCTCATCAGGGCACAGAGCAGCACCCTGGGCTGGCAGCTCAGGTGCAGGCCGCCTCCCTGTCCGAGGCAGGTGCGGGAAGAGCCACCCTGGACTCGGAACCCAGACTCTGGCTGTAAGTGCTCACTCCGTGGCTTGCCAGTGCGAGGCCTGGGCGCCACCCCCTTCCCGGGCGGCAAAGGGGATGGTCACTCCAACTCCTGCTGCTCTGGCGAGGACAACACGACACCAGGCAGTGGGAGTGAAGTGCTTTGAGCCTCCTCGGGGCTGGCATAATGCGTCCACGAGCGTCCCAGGGCCCAAGGCAAAGGCCGCGGAGGCAGGGCCATGGGAGGGAGGCAGGCCCGGGCGTGCATCACTGAGCTCCCTCCCTCCCTCCTGCTCAGGGCGGCTGTCTGAGGGGCAGACTGGGGAAGGGGGGGGGCGGTGTTGAAATGACTTCCTTGCAGACACAGTTAAGTCAGCTGATCAAAAGGAGCCTGTGCCCCGCCGGCGTGGCTCAGTGGTTGAGCGTAGACCTATGAACCAGGAGGACAGGGTTTGATTCCCGGTCAGGGCACATGCCCCGGTGTGGGCTCCATCCTCAGTGGGGGGAGTGCAGGAGGCAGCCAATCAATGATTCCCTCTCATCACTGGTGTTTCTCTCTCTCCCTCTCCCTTCTTCTCTGAAATCAATAAAAGTATATTTTAAAAAAACACAACAAAACAAAACAAAAAAAATGAGCCTCGTGATCTCACCTCATTTCAACCCCAAAGCTGCTCGGCCCGTCCTCCCTGGTCACCCATCATTCAGGCCGCAAATGGCAGGGTCTGCCATGGCTCCTCATGTCCCGCTGGACACCTGAATCCTTTCATCAGCAAATCTCGTCAGAGGCATGTTCACAGTGCAGCCTGAACTCAACCACCCCTCACCAGCAGCACCCGACCCAGGTCAGGTCCCCCGCAGGTCTTCCTGGATCACCAGCAGCACCCGACCCAGGTCAGGTCCCCGCAGGTCTTCCTGGATCACCCAGCAGCACCCCGACCCTGGCCAGTCCCCCCACAGCTCTCCCCTGGATTGGGGCGCTAGCTTCCTCGCCGGGCTTCCTGCTGCTGCCCTCGCCCGGCCTGAGCCTGGTCTCCAATGGGGATCATTTACTCTTATTCCACCACCAATGAACAGGCGGGGAAAATGACATGGTGCTTTTACAGACACAGGACAAAAGGGATGGAGGCCGATGACCCTGAGAGGGAGGAACAAAGGAGGCGAGCCCTCCTATTGGCCCAGCGAATGGCCTGGGGAGAATTTCCAGGCTGGAGTGCAGGGACCAGGGAAGGCGAAGGCAGGGAGAATGTGCAGCGCCAGGGACCTGCGGTCGGCCCTGGATTCTGAGTGCTGACAGCTGGTGTGTGAGGCAAGTCCCCAAGGCCAGGGGAACCCCCAGCCAGGGTTAGGGGACAGCGTCACCTCGGGCCCATCTCACCGCTACTGAGGCAATCCCTTTGGCATGTCTCCCAGGAAGTACAAAGTACTCCCCCTGCACCCTTCAATGCTAACAGGAGTCCCCAATTTGGAAACATTATTTGAAAAAGGAAACATTATTCAGTGCAAAACAACCCCGTGGTGATGCAGCACAGTTGCAAGGCAACTCAGGCCAGGCAGCCCTGGGCCAGGCCCCTCTCCAGCCAGGCAGCTCTGCTCTGGAGAGCCAGTGTCAGTGTTCCAGCTCACCCAGGGAGGCCCAGTCCAAAAGGAAAGGGTGCTCCCGGGGAGAGAGGGGCTGATTTATATGGCCGGAAGTCCCCGCCCCTGATTGGTCTGTCTTCATGCAAATGAGGATTCTAAGTCCTTGTAATTTGATTGGTCCAAAAGGCACTGTCCTGATTGGTCAGAATAGAGCCACCCTGATTGGCCAGAGCTGAGGGAAAGCCTCAGTCCTATTGGTTGAAATAGGATTCCAGGAACTCCTTTTTAAAGATGGCAGGAACAGCGTGCAGGCAGGCAGGCAGGCGTTCAGCTGCAGGGGCCTGTCCTTCTCACGGTTTCCCTCTCCTGACTGAAAAGAGGCTCAGCAGCAAGTGTGGAGGCTCTGGGAGGAGGCCAGGCAGACCCAGCCTCTGTCCTATGACGACTAAGGCAAACAGCCACCCAATTCCCAGACTTGCTAGTTACCTCCCTACAACACTGTGTCTGATTAAACTCTCAGAAGGCAGGCATCGTAATGCCCATTTCACCCACGATCAAACCAAAGCCTCGCAGAATTCAAAGAACTGCCCTAGCCAGTTTGGCTCAATGGATAGAGCATCAGCCTGCAAACCAAAGGGTCCTGGGTTCGATTCCACTCAAGGGCATGTACCTTGGTTGCAGGCTCCTCCCCTGCCCAGGCGCTGGTCGGGGCTCATGCAGGTGGCAACCAATCGGTGTGTTTCTCTCACATCGATGTTTCTCTCTGTCTTTCCCTCTTTCTTCCACTCTCCCTAAGAATCAATGGAAAAATATCCTCGGGTGAGGATTAAAAAAGAGAGAAAGAACTTACCAAAAACATGTGTCCGAGCAGCTGGCAGCCAGAGCACAGCTGTTCTGAGTCCATGTAGTCTTCTGAATTCTGCTTGACTACCCAACTGTCAGGGCAGGTTCCTTCTCACGCCCCGCCCATGGCACTAACTGTGGGGGCCACGCCCCTCTGCCAGGGGCTGGACCTTCTTTGGACACCCGGTGGTAGTCGGAGAAGCCATGAGAAGTTGAGGGTGTATATAGGAAAGCCTTTATTGTAGGAGCCAGTGGCCATATAGCCAGCAGACAAAACAGTCCTTCGCAGCAAAGTCCCATACGGGAAGCTGCACTCCGGCTGATAAACGAACACACCTTTCCCATTAGGCAGTAGCAGTCGCTGTACCCACAGCCGTTATCTGAGCAGCCGCACGCTGCCTCAGACTCACAGCTTCACACAGCAGCGGCTGAGCTCTCTGCCTCGGCTCTTCTCTAGCCTCTCTGGACTCCTCTCCAGGCCTCGCCAGCCTCTTCGGCCTCCGTATAGGTCTTCATCCCTGGGGCAGCCCAAGATTTTAATTCGCTGTTGCTCCCAGATCTCCACCTTAGTTTCAGCTCGCAATTCTGATGGATTCATATATATCTACCTTTGAGGATTCTATCATTTCCTAAGGACTTGGCATGTTTCATCTAGGATCTGAGTTACCTAGCGCAGAGGGTCCTCCAAACACTGGGACTCCCACATGGTCGCCAGAGAAGCCCATGAGCTCCCTTCTCTGAATGTAGGAACTTATGTTCCCAGAACCCAGTGTGGGGACCACCTCATACTTGGCAGGTGATGAATGACTTAAAAAAAGAATGATAAAAACCACACCCCGGGCTCTCTAGATTGGTTAGGAGTCAGAGGTGCAATCTCTTTCCAGCCACCTGGGGAGCCATGATTTAATGTCACCCTTGAATGTCTAGGCCATCGCCCTCCCGGGTCATAGGTTATCTCTGGCCCATGGCTGGTACCACAGGCAGGAGGAAGCGGGGAGGGCAGTGGTTGGCGGCTTGTCTGGAAGGAGCCTTGCTGGCCTGGCTCCCCTAGTGCACAGCTCACTACTGCTCCCACCCAGCGCCGCTGGTCTCCTTCCTCCCAGTCCTCTACTCTGAGGATCCACTGTCTCCGCAGGCCAAAGAGTAAAGACTGTGGTCCAGCCTAGCGCACTGCTGGTGGCAATGCAGGCTGGTGAGCCACTATGGAAAACAGTGTGGAACTGCCATTTGACCCAGTGATCCCACTTGCAGGAATGTACCCTAAGAGACCCGAAGCGCCACTCAGAAAGCATGTATGCACCCCTGTGTCATAGCAGCACAATTCACAATAGCTAAGACCTGGAAACAGCCCAAGGGCCCATCAGCAGACGAGTGGATAAACAGCTGTGGTACATTTATGCCATGGAATACTGTGCAGCAGTAACAATGAAGGGTCTCTTACCCTTTGAGACAGCATGGAGGGGCCTGGAGAGTATCACGCTAAGCGAAATGAGCCAGTCAGAGAAAGACAAATGTCACATGATTTCACTCACATGTGGAATCTAAGGAACAAAATGAACTGATGAACAGAGTGGACCCAGAGGCATGGAAGCAGGGAACAGAGTGCGGAAGCTCGGAGGGAAGGCGGGGCAGGGCGGGTGGTGGGAGACAATCAACCTAAGACCTTGTGTGCATGTATGCATGGCCCATGGACACAGACAATAGGGAGGTGAGGGCCTGGGGCGGGAAAGTAATACTTTCAACAATAAAGATAAAGAAAATAAAATTAAATAAAAAAATAAAGATGTGGCTCAATAGTCCCACTCAGTTCTGATGAAGCAGCCCAGTCAGATATGTCAGACGTCACATTCCTGTTTAATAAAAGCAACCACGTAGGGAGCAGTGACAGCAGCAGTGGGCACAGTAGCTGCGCCCCAGCGGGACTGCATGTTCCACCACAGCTGGTTTCTGCCTGGGAGACGTGGGATGCTTGGAGAGGGCGAGGCTCGCTTAGACCCTCTCCTCCCTCCACTCCAGCTCGCAGTGACCTGGGCTCTCCCCAGAGAGTCTGCGGAGTGGGGATGCTCCTTCGGGCTTGGCAATGCCTCTGAGACCTCCTGGGGGCGGAGTCTCTCCTGGGGGTGCGGGGAGCACCAGGGCTGGCCGAGCAGGGCTGCTGAGCAGGCTGCTGCCCTCCTCTTGAGCTCTGTGGGCCACAGGGTCGCTTATAGGGATGGAGGCCCTTAGCTGCACCGGGA